TCCCAGCCATCCTCCCCGCGCGTAATTTCGCTTTGTTCTATCGCATTCACTTTACATACAAAATATATGTATTCAATGGCCATTCTCGTTAATTGACTTATTTAATTCGGTTATTGGCTAACGCGATTTAAGTCGACGATGATAAACGAGAATCAGCGATAACAAACATCTATACGATCTTGGAGTCAGATCAAACGGCCACAGATATATAATTTCATTAAATACATGCATATATACTTGTTCCAACTATACAGAGTTCTGACTGAAAATATGGAATTATTTTATATACGAATACCAGTTAAGATAACATAATCAACTACTTATCATTTATGAGTGGTCATCGATTAACAGCTAAGTAGTTAATGAACTACAAGTAGGTGAAGTAATTGAGTAACTTAAATATCGGTTCACCAGACGAACCAATCATAAAAAATGATAAATATTTGGTTAGAAGTATACTGAACACTAGTTAGAAAAATAATATACTACTACACTGTACTTAGATAAGACGGTATTTTTGAATGCATACATTCAAAATCCTCGCTAGACAAAATCGCAGGTAATTTCATTTATAATTAATGTAAATACTAAATGTTAAGCTAAAATTGATGACACCATTGTCTACACTTGAGTTTAATGAAGAATATATTAACAACTTATTACCTATTAAAATATCAAACTGATAAAGTAATATATCTAAAAAATAAAAGTGTACTGTCTACTTAAACAGAATGGGTGTGAGTAGAGTTTTCCTGTCGGATAACTAGCACTGCAAAGGACGTTAACTTCTTAGCACACAGAATTCAGCAAGTGAAGATAAACTTTAAAAGAAGCGCATGTTCTGTTGCACTACGGATCTCCAGTATCAGTAGCAAAGTTTACAAAATCAACTGCCGATAGACTTGTCGTGTGTGATTGGTATCAAGTTTGTGTTCCTCAGACACTAGAGTCAGGTTTAAAGACTAACAGAACCATCGTTTGCTTCCAGTTTTTCACGAAGGTTCGTTTCCACGATGTGGACATTCAGAAGTGCCGATTGGTTGACATGGTGCTTAGAACCAATCCGTAAGAAACTAAAACCCTACAGTCTGAAGGATAGTTTTGAATTTGTACAAAAGCTTGATAGCCTAAATGCTTCCGAAAAATTCATGATCTCGTTTGATGTCTCATCACTCTTCACAGAGACCCTTTTGGAAGAAATAGCAAAATATGAATATCCTCAACTTCTAATTCACTTGGTATTATTTAGCTTGTATCTTCCCATTGAGGTTTAAGACTGCAATTGTTCATTGCTAGCTACTATCCATCATTGCTTGCAAAAAGCTTGTGAATTAAGGCAATATCGAGACATACACACAGTATGCACATATGCCGATAACAGACTGATCAATTGCAGTCTTAAACCTCAATGGGGAGATACAAGCTAAATAATACCAAGTAAATTGAAATTCACCCCATTGCACAAGCAAGTGGCTATCAGGACTCAGTAGCTAAGTGGATAACGTGATGGAGTTTGAAGCGAATGGTACTGGGTTCAAGTCCCAGAGTGATCATCAACTCTGAGATGCAGGTACATACAGCTGACGAGTCCCAAATAGGACGAAACGCGCGTCCTGGATTCCACTGCTAGCCAATATCGATCATTGCTTACAAAAATCCTGAACTTCTGCCTTTGCCAATAAATTAATTCAGACACCTCCTGTTTCTGTGTACAAAAAACATACAATTCCAATTTAACAATGTCTTGTACTGCCAAATTGATGGAGTAGCCCTTTGGGTCCAATTCTAGCCGATATATTTGTGGGAAACCTGGAACAGAGGAAGCTCAAGCATGCAATCTATGGAATTACACTCTACTGTAGACATATTGATGACACATTTATCGTCTGCAACAATCAAAAGCATTCCATGAACTTACTCAATCTGTTTAACAAAGCACACAAAGATATAGATTTTACTATGGAACACAAAGTAGAAATTAAATTCCATTTCTTAGATATTGGAATCAGACGAATGTCAGACGGCACATTACAAAGACACATTGACCGCAAAAATACATGGAGTGGAGTTTATCTCAATGATGACAGTTTCTGTCCAATTAGTTACAAAATGGGTATGGTATGAACCCTTTTTGACCACGCATACAAAATTTGCTCAAAGGAATGTCTGGAAGATTAAATTCCTCTCATTACAAATTGTCTGTGTGAAAATGCATACCTGGTGAAGTTCATCTAGAAATATGCCGAAACCAACCCTCGGGCTAAATACAATAAAATTGAAAAGAAAACCTGCTTCTTATATTTAAGCTTTAAAGGAGATGAAATCAATGGAATAATTAATCACAGGATAAATCCCACGTTGAAGGTGACTTATTCATCAGCAAAACTGACGACGGTATAGGAAACGAACTGCCCGCTCAACAAACTAAAATTGTCTGGTCCCGTTTTCTCAGTAGCTCCAACGGCATTTACCAACTTACCTGTACGTGCCAAAGTACATACATTGAAAGAACTGGGAGAAGAGTACATGTTCGTATTTCCGAGAATGTTCCAAAAAACTTGAGACTGAGATGGGCAAGGGCTCTCAATAATGCAATAACTCGGCATTTACTTGACACTGGGCACACTATTAACATTCCTCAAGCTTCCAAAATGTTTAGCAGACAAAGAAATACTGCTTCTCTTCGGTTCACTAAAGCAATTGCGATAAAAAAACTAAAACCTGATATGTATTCAAAAAGAAACAGTAATAAACATATTACTACCCTAGTAAATCATTTTTTATCATCATTTTTTTAGGGTTCATTTTATTATGTGTTCTTCCCTTACCAAATTATATATATATATATATATATATATATATATATATATATATATATATATATATATATATATATATATATATATATATATATATATATATATATATATGTATATATATATATATATTTGGGGTTGCAAGCAGCTGATGAGAAACCACAGATTATAATAAATTTATATTATTCTGCATGCATGTTCGTTCTGGCTTTAATTAATTTCCATGGTTTGCATTACAAACTGATTTTAGACAACTATTAAGAACCAAAAAGCACTGAACAGCTATTCTTGATAGGCATGAAGTATACAACCGAACTATCTTAAGGTGTGAACCGTCTTATCCAGTCAGGAGACAGAGAAAGTGAATGAATCTTTATGCTAGGAATTGAGATATGATTTTAAAACTCTTGCATTACAGTCGACATCAGTTCATGATGAAAACCCTAACCGTTTCGATATTCACTTGGTGATTTTTATCGTTCCACGTTGGTTCAACTGTATACTTTAGGCCAGCCCCGTTTAGTCACAGCATAGAACTCCTCAGCAGTCCTTAAGTATGACTCCACCGGAAACTGAACACAAGACTTCCAACTTTTGCAGCGAGAGTTAGTCTCTAGACCACTAATCCAGCAATCCAATGTCACACGCATTTAACCTCAATTAATCCGCGATACTAATCAATTAACTTCCAATGTCATTGATGGGTAATTCCTGGGTAGAAGAATACGAATACATCAGACAAAACTAAGTAATTACTGATGAACTGGAAATAGGTGCCATTCCATGAGGAGCTGTTTCTTAATTTTAAGAAATGGCCGAGGTATTGAAGCAAATCAAATCGTAATTGTTAACAGACCTAGGTTTAAAATGCTCCCGTTGGATATATCGCTTTCGATTTCTCCATACTCAAGACTACATTTTTTTTTAGTAAAGCTTGATTGTGTTTAACGGTGGAGTTCAAAGCGCGTTTTTCTCTATTTAGGACTCTTCCTGTGGATGAATTCCCATCTCACGGCTCGGATAGCTCAGTGGTAACGTCTCTGACTGTGAAGCTGGGTGACACGAGATCGAATTCGCCAGGGAGCACCAGTTCCCTCAAGATTACAGGTACACCTTGCTGACGAGTGCCAAGTAGCACGAAACCCGGGTCCAGGGTTTCCTGTTGACTACCTCCAACCACCATCTAATCTCAATACATAGTGCCCGCAATGTCGAGTCACCTAGACTGGTGGCCACATTGCAACATGATCGATAGCATTCGATCTGCACTAATAAGGACTAGACAAGCATGAGATTGATCACCACCCAGTGGTCAATCAATTGTGAATTCTCATCTCATTTCTATTATCTACACCGAGACTCGAACCCAGAACCTTTCGCTTTAAACGCTCAACACACTATCCACTGGGTTACTGAGTTCAGATAGCCACTACGTGTTATGTCCCGATAAGAATAATGAATGGTAATTTTTGGGATCCATTTGTGGACCAATACTAAATGTATATTTTTATCGTATAATTGTTCATTAACCAAACTATTCATATTGATGTCTCTCTTATCATAAGCTTTATTTTAACCTATGAACTGTTATCATACGATTTCCATTCATGGATTATTCCCTGTCTATTAATTACTACCTCCCTTATTCACAGCCACGTTTGGCCAAATCTTGTATAAATGTTGTTTCCTATTTCATTGGTACGATGTGGTCTGTTTGGTTGGTATATAAACCCAGTATGTTTAAAATAAATGACTCATATTGCAGAGGCTGAGATTGGTATTCTGAACTTAACTGGCTGGGCTAGGACCAATAAGGACTCTAGACTGTTCGTACGGGTTTTATGCGTCATTGGTCCGATCGATAATTCACTGCTTTCTAATTGGCGGTATCGTTACGTTATACATTAACAGGACACACAGGCCACAAGTTGTAACACTACATTGTACAAATTGTGTGAATTTTACTGTTTGTATTTTCCCGTTGTTGATGTTAAGGATTGCAAATGATTAGTCTCCTTTGGTAGGTATGCATCCCGAACGGATCACCTCGATATTGACATACAGTCACTGAAACTTTCAACAACAGTTGTGAAGTAACATGAATAAACTTAGAAACAACCATCAGACTAATATTGTAAGTTTCACTTACACTCTTAGAACTAACAAATCTAGTCAGAAAAGAAGTTAATATTATTTATCTACCTTTTTAATATTAAAAAATTATCTACACTGTATGACAATCACAATTTTAGAAACAATAGACATCGTGATTATATTGTTATAAAGTTTGCTCCGCTTCGTCCGGTTTAGTGGGTTCACTAAAGCAAATCTTATTTAAGTTAGATTTTTTCCTAGCAGCTTTAAGCTTTGGTTTTGTTTTGAAAGTTTCGCTTGACAAATCAGATTCTTGTTTACTATTCCCAATTGGATTTTTGTGGTAATCCGTTAAATGTTGTAACTATAAGAAATTGACAAAAATGCACAATAATACAAATAGAAGAGCTTTCAAAACAATGATACAATGAAATGGTTTGAAAAAGTAGAGCATATATCTGATATAACGGATGTTTAAAATATTTACCTCGCTCTCAAGTATACTACGGTAATAAGACTAGCGTACTTACCTAAGCAAGTAGGCTGAATGCCTGTTTATCCACACACTGATTAATCATATTTTAATTTCACTACCACATATCAATATCAGTATTTAAACAGAATATATTGATATCATTCAGGTAACAGAGAAGCATCAGAAGAGTAATTTAATGTCCATACTTTAATTTTTATACTCCAAAGATAAATTAAGTTGATGAGGATTAAGGAATGAGATAATATAAATGATCGTATTATGCATTAAATCATGAGGCTTCCTGAAAAATACTATGGCCAATAAAATCATAAACAAAGATGGAAGTCCGTTAGCTTCGCATAATATAGCAGTAGATACAACTCTAAAAGTATACCAGTTAGTCAACCGTTTTTGTTTATATCCTAGCTTTGAATTATGATTCATCTAATGAAGCCTCACTAGTTTTCCGACGGAGTCATCCCAATTACATGAGTACTTATAACCTACCTGAATTCCTTGTAGTAGAAAAAGATTAACTCAATCATAAATATGCATTTAGTTATATTTCGATTGTACGTCAAAATTGCCAGTTGGATCTTTCATTGACGCTATTAACCAATACATATATTGAAAATAATCTTATTTAAAAAAACACTATTTATTTGATCAGCAGTTTGAATCACATGAAGCTTCAGAACATGTCAAATGTTCCCACATCCTTTTAAGGCAATAAGTTCTATACTGAGTACAATAATATATGTTCTATCTCACAGTCAACAAAGAATGGGCACACGGTCCGACTTACTTTCAATTGTATCTGGTACATGTATTTATCCAAGAAAATGTATCAAGACGATAGAAATCTAGAAAATTGTCACAAGAGATTTTTTAAATTATGAGGTTAGTGAGATCCAGGTTGTTTGTTGGTACGTTTATCTGATTTCAATTATATCATATGATGATGTTAACGAAATATACAGCCCCGATACCCTCGTATATAATTGTCGACTTAATTCGCGTTAGTAAATAACGGAATAAAATAACTCAAATAAGGAAATGAATTTCGGATGTATATATATGATACACTCGTTGATGCAGACACATATTCAGAATGAAAAGCGGGGAAGCGAAGCTTAGAAGAATGAGTCAACTGAACTTCCTCAAGTGCGACTGTATAGTGGCCCGATATCTGAATCGAGGTCGATCGTATGAACGTTTGTTATTGAAATATACATGTCATCTATCCTCGTATATAATCATCGACTTAATCCGCGTTGGGGAATAACGGAATTAAATACGCCAAATACGAGAATGAATTTTGAATATGTATATTTCATGAACTCATTTATTTGAACAGGTAATCAGGGAGAAGCAGGTTGGAGAAGGCAAGTGTGCCAACTCAATTTAATCAAGCGTTAATCAATATTTATAGACAGATAAAAATAAGCTAGACGTAATGAGTAGGATAAGATATGCACACACATACGCTTACACAAAAAAACAGAATGCGGTCAAAATGTGGTTTAAGAAGAATGAATAGATTGACTTGTTCGGAAGGTAGAATAAACTATGTGGGTTTAACATAACACATGATGTTTCATTATTCCGCACAACTGTGGTGCTTGTATGAGTTAATGATTCTTTTGTACTTGATGTGGGCCTGATTTCGAATTCCATATACAATACGTTCGTTTGTGCTCACTTAGTTCTATTTGACCTTAATCGCGTTATATATGGGATCCCTAGTTCTTATACTTCTAAATATCACAGTGACTCGATATTTATAGTCAGACAGAAATAAGCTATAGCTAATCTGAAAGCGCACGAAACCAAGTTGGTCACATTCAAATCCTTTCTACACCCCTTAATACCACTCTTATCTCCCCGACTAAACCTTCTCACGTCCTTTTATCACCTTGCACCGCTAAGGCGAACGATTCAAGTACGCGGAACGTTATTTCTGGTCTCCTGAAACCACGCTCTAAACTACACGTAGGAGCTTTCAACGTCCCAACACTGTGCCAAATAATAAAACAGGCTTCCCTAGCTAGGACTTTAGAATATCGTGCCATCGATGTGTGCTGCGTCTCCGAAACGCGCTTCCAGGATCCGAGTAGCGTCATTCATTTGACATCACCATATAAAAACAAAGAACCAACTCGATTCACACTTCGTGTATCTGGAAGCCCTGATGCTGCTTCCCGTGGATTCGCCGGCGTAGGTATAGCATTGAGTCCTAGGGCAGAACTAGCTCTCTTAGACTGGATCCCAGTAGAAAGTCGTTTGTGCGCTGTCCTACTAAACGGAACAATAAGGACTCGGAAAGATAGGGACACTCGTCGTTGCCTCTTTGTCGTCTCTGCCTATTCTCCCACTGACTGGAGCGCAGATGATGTAAAAGATTAGTTTTACAGAAAGCTTCCTGACCTTGTCCGAAAAGCTAGGCGCTCTGATGCAGTAATAGTGGCTGGTGAATTTAATGCTCAAGTAGGTAAACTAAGCGATAGGGAAAGACATCTCGGTGGATCTTATAGCGTCGTGTCTCAAAAAACAGATAATGGCGACCGTCTGTTGCAGCTATGCTCAAATAACCGCCTGTTTCTTGCGAATACTAACTTTAAGCACAAGCAAAAACATCTTTTAACATGACGACCCCCTAATTCGTCCCAACGTTGGACCCAAATAGATCATATCGCTATCAGCCACCGATGGAGGGGCTCGATAGAAGAGTGTCGTTCATTCTGGAAAACATGCTTAGATTCAGATCATGCTCTAGTGCGAGCACGTATTTGCCTGCGTCTTAGTGGACGTAGGAAAGACGCTTCAGGGAAACCTCTTAGGGTCCTACCTAATGATAGTCAAGCTAAGAGTATATTTCAGGAACAACTAGAAAAACAGTTAGGCAGCCATGTAAGTGATGTCCACCACGAGGCAGCATGGAATGACATCCGAAAAACTGTGGAAACAGCAGTGATATCTGCTAGTACGGTAACCCGCATGGTTAAGGGGCAACATTGGATCTCAAAAGCATCTTCCACACTGATAGGTGCTCAAAAACTCATTCCATTTGGATCTGAACATAACGAAGAGCGGAGTCAGCTTAAGCGCAAGCTGACAAGAAGTCTACGCAATGATCGTGAACGGTGATGAGTAGCAAATGCAAGAGAGATGGAAAAGGCAGCGGCAATAGGCTACAGCAGACAACTGTTCAGACTTGTTGAGTAAACCGGTATTAGGAACCCAACTGTAGGCGAATCTATCTCAGAAAAAGATGAACATATTAATCATTCTCAATCCAGGAGATTGGATCGATGGGCAGAACACTTTAGGGATCAGTTCAACTGGCCTTCAGCCACACTTCGGTTTCCCACGATCTCCGGTCAACCTGAATGGCAAGTTAATGTAGGTCCTCCGACTCTTTACGAAGTTGAAAAAGCTATAGGAAATCTGAAGCGAGGGAGAGTAGCAGGCCCTGACAGGTTTACTCCTGAGATTTTTAAGGATGGTGGTCCAGTATTAGCAATGAGATTAACTGAGGTCTTAGGTAGAATTTGGGAACTGGACGTAATCCCATCTGACTGGTCTCAATCACTGAGTGTGTCAGTCTATAAGAAAGGACGAAAGTCCTCTTGTGACAATCACAGAGGAATCAGTTTGACTAATATAGTGTCTAAAATATTAGCTTCAATAATACTTCAACGCCTAACCAAAGCTCGTGAAGAACAGACTAGAGAAAATCAGGCTGGTTTTCGACCTAGACGTGACTTTATAGACCAGGTATTTTCACTATGTCAGGTTCTAGAACACAGACAATCATTCAGACGCCCCACAATCGTAGTATTTCTCGACCTTAAGGTGGCATTCGATTCTGTTGATCGTGAGGTTCAATGGCAGTGTTTGTCACTGAAAGGAGTACAAAAGCAGTACGTTAACATTATAAAGGCTCTCTACTTTAACACAACTGGTCGAGTGAGAGCTTATGGTGAACTATCATCAGAATTGATTACCTCAAGTGGTGTTCGTCAGGGCTGTCCACTCTCTCCATTCTTGTTCAACTTTGTCATTGACGTACTTTTAGAGATAACACTTTCCTCATCTAAATTTACAGGGGTTGAACTTCTACCGGGACCACGAGATGATAGCAACCGATGGTTAGAGACCCTGAATGACATGACTCAAAATTGTTTACAATGGCGCAGGTGCATCCAATCTTTGTGTTCTCCCAAATTTTGATCTCCTTATTCCTCCTTGTCTTTTTTTCTCTTTCCAAATTTATTTCACTGGATTATACTCTTTAAATAACGTCTCCAAACACTAATCTTTCCGATTACTGCCTATACTCTTACTACCTCTACCACTACGGGATTTGAATGGACAACTGCATCTCTGTGCTAATGTGGTATGGCAACTCGAACTCAGACCTGGTCACGGCCGCATCGACCACATATTCACCATTCGTCAGGTTTTAGAACATGGGCATACTTATCGGCGTCCGACAATGGTGGTCTTTCTTGACTTAAAAGCAGCATTTGACTCTGTAGACCGAGAGCTTCTGTGTCAGTTTGTCATTGAAAGATGTACCTCAGAAGTACATAAACCTTGTGAAGGATCTTTACTCGAACATCACTAGTCGAGACAGAGCTTATGGCGAACTGTCATTTACCTTTGCAACCTCAAGTGGAACCCCTCAAGGCTGTTCACTTTCTCCAATTTTGTTTAACTTCATCAAAGACCTACTGATGGAAATAACGCTCTCATAGACTGAATTATTGGGCATTGATCTCCTACCAGTAGGTCCACTTATCGACTTGGAATACGCAGATGACATAGTCCTGTTTGGTGAAGACGCTGATAAAATACAGACTCTTTTGGTAGCACTGAGAAACAATGCCAGGATGTTTGGAATGCGTTTCTCCCCCTCTAATAGCACGGCAGTTCATTCTGTTCTACTTTACGGCTGCGAAACATGGTCATTAAGTGTAGAAAATACTCGTAAGATACTAGTATTTGACCACAGATGCCGTAGAAATATTGCTCGCATCTACTGGGGTCACCGACTAAGTAATAGTGAAGTTATATGCAGGGTATTTGGTAATGATGGTAAATCAGTTGATGAGGTTGTGAATCTTCATCGACTGAGATTGTTAGGCCACGTGTTACGTATGCTTGAACACCGATTACTACAGCGCACAATGCTGACTAGTGTTGGATATGGTTGGAAGGAAGTTAGGAGCAGCCAAACCAAAACGTGGTATCGGTGCTTGAAGCCACTAACTTCTAGTAAGAGTCATGTTAATAGATGAAGACCAATTGATTGTGTTCCGCGTGACTATAGTAACTAATGGTTGCAGACTCTGGGTGACATGGCTCAGAATTGATCACAATGGTGAAGGTATATGTACTCTTTGTTTGCCCCTAAACGGTGAGAATAAAATTACTTTATACCTTTCTTTCTGCGAACTAATTCTTTCTTCTTGTACTATATCTCTATATGGAATCTTTCTCTTATATATTACCACCTTTGACCTAACCACTGCTATGAATCCGGTGTTCATCTTGTTGTGCTGATGCGGTATGGCAACTTGGACTGATGTATTTATGTGCCTGATCCTACGTTGTGGATGATTGGCTGATACGATGAATGGAGTAAGGAGTATACACACATACCCTCATATAAAAGTAGTCAAGGTTAATAAGCGAATAATTGACAAGGTTAAAACGTGACTCAATTTGAATAAATAAAAAAGGTCTGTTCAGAAGCTAGGATAATCCATGTGACTTATTATTCAAAAGTCAAAACCTTTAGTCACTAAGCCATAGCTTACCACATTATCGTTGATCGTGTTATCAACATTTCTCTGCCTTTTTCAGTTAATTGCGACACACCAATTTCTACTGATTATAGGTAACGACAGCCGTGTGCTACAATTGCCATCAATTTCATACATACTTTTAGCTTATTGTAGTTGGAGAGAAGCTATAGCATAAAATGAATTTACTTCGCTGTGTAAACTTTGCTACATGTTCTATATTGCTGATGTAATTCCATTTTCTATCATTTTGCGGTGGAAAGTAGTAGGAATAAGAAAAATTAAATCTAAAAGTTGTGAAGTTAATACATTGATTTGATTTGCTATTTGGGTGAAGAAAATAGAGTAACGAAGCATTATCTTTGTCACGATGAAAATGAACAAATAAAACATAAACTATTTAACATTTATTGTTTTATTTGTTCTATACTGTTGTAATGGACAAGAAAATAAAATAAATTCAGTAATTACCAGTTGAGGATTTCTTCGGACGAAACAAAAGACATCATCCACAGTTACTGTTGAACGTTTTGCATGCCGACTAAATGTTTCTAGATCTGTGGCAAGAATTTGGTGAAAACGGAAGATCAATTCAGTCATCAAGCAAATTATATCCATATTGACTTCACATTGCTCTTTATTAGATATTTCTTGTGCAATTTTTGTACACCTATAATGCAATTCAGCTTTGTATTCCTAGAAATTAACAAGTAAGTTGTTAAATATATAATACGGCATGAGGCAGAAAGATTGAAAAAAAGATAATTACAAGTCAGATAATGAGGAGTATATGGAAAATCCCAGGTTACATTAGAATTACACAATGCATCAACACTGGGACTTACATAACACTCATTTTAATCAGTAGATCATTTCATTATTCTAAGATGGTTAGAACACAGAGTTTGGTTGTTTGGCTTATTTAAAGGCTGGAACATAAGCAATATCAGATTAGATTAAAGGTAGACATACCACTATTTTATATAAGTTTAGACTGCTATCGAGTGAGTAGAAATAAAGAGAACATTGGAAAGAGTGGTTCAAAAGGTAGAAACAAACGACAAAGGCAATAATAAACAAGAATAGTAAAATAATCTACATTCATGCTACTATTATGAAAAATTTCACATTCGATCCATGGAGATGCTTAGTCAATTTTCATTTGCAAGTAAATTTAGTTACCCTTTATATCTTTTAGATCTTATTCAATTTCTTGCTGATTGTAAAACAGTTTATTTAAACTGTAATATTTTCTAGGTGAGAATACACTTCACTGACTGATTATCGAACAGCATACTTCATGTTTTACAACTCATTTCTCTTTCTAAATTATATCTCCAACCATTTGTTAGGCCATAAGTAATTACGTTGCTACTTTTACCATTTGGTTTCTCGATCCAAATTTTTAACGCAAGCGCCTAGATTTTATGCTTGGAATTACACGTTCGGAGTTGTAAATTTGTGGAGTCTGGACACTTTTACTGAGAATCAACTGAAAACACGCATACAACCATTTAGTATTTGCTTTAAGTTAGCATTTGTCATAACTATAATGTTTACTTGACTACATTTCCCATATAGTTTAGCTCGGTTTATCAAAAATTCTGTAGTTAACCAGTGTTCATAATATTCAAAAAATGTATGCATATAATGTAATAATATCCAAAACGACTACACAAGTGCATATTTAAGAAAAAACTGAGTGTTTAATAAGTTTAAAGCCAACTCCAACTAGAGCCCCTCTAGGATTACTGCTAGTTCCAAAAGTAGGTGGAGGGTTGAGCGAGTAGTTAGCAACTTCACCATATGAAAGACAACCCCACCAAAGAGCGCTAACAAAAAAATCATTTTAACCAATTAAACTCTCTCCACGGAGATCAAAGGTCTTATTATTTATTTGAACACATAAATATTGGTACAGGAGGGCACCAAATATATATGCGCCACACAAAACAATGAGAATTGCAGAGAAGGAAAAAAAAGGTAAGGAGCGTAAAGAAACGATAACGAACAGATTAGTGTAAGGTAGTGTAATAATGATAATGGGGGAAACAGAAACATACACTCAGAACAGATCTTTCAGTTAAGGAAGAAGCAACCACTTTTTATGAAGAAATTAAAAGGTTACAACAGGATCGCCAATGGCTTCTATTTTGAGCCATATCTGATAACGTCTCTACTCGAGAACGTTTAGATGGAATCGAAAATCCACCATAGGCGAGCTGCTGTATAAGTCGAAAAATAAGGATAGACAGAATAGGAATAAAAGAGAGTGAATAAATGACGTAGTAAATAATAACAATAGTAATAATAATAATAATAATAATAATAATAATAATAATAATAATAATAATAATGTGAATCGTTTGTTTGTTAATTGAAGCAAGAAAAGTATTTCCCATAATTATCGACAGTTCATCATATTTGTGTGTGGGCTGTGATACTGCTCAGATGCCCAGACCGAAGCAGGTGGTTATCTTAGGGGGCCACACCCTGAGCCTTTGACCCAAAGGTCTGACCCACAAGGCAATGGAGCATCGTGAGGAGATGTAGTCCCATGGTAGCCGGTGACCAACAGTTGGTTCATACGCTATTTGTTCCCGCAGGATACTGGAGCCCATGTGCACCATCGGTTTGGAATGCGGTTAAAGCGCCGGACATTCGCTTTTCGTTCTCTCAATTTCCTAAACAACACCCCCGCCACGAGAAGGCAGTGAGTAGGACTTCCCTGACAGAGGCTGTATACGCGTGGCCGTGTGAGAGCATTTCGAGAGGGAGGTGCTTTAGCAAAATCATTGGCAGGCAAGGACGATCTGATGTAGACATCAAGACACGAACTGGCAAAGCGAAGAAAACACACCTAACACGGAAGAATATCTGAAACTAAGAACTGATAAGTAAGACTAAAATTTGAATTTTCAACACTAACGTCAACAAAGTTCTATTGCACGGAGTTGAAACTTGGAAAACTGTCACAACCATAACCGAGAGTACAGGTATTTACAAATATCAGATTACGCAAGATACTGCAGATCCATTGGCTAGAAATCAGCAACAACCAACTACGGCAGGGAACAAACCAGATACCGGCTGAGAAGGGAATCGAGAGTGGATAGAACACGCTTTACGGAGACCATTAACCTGAATTATAGATCAAACCCCAAACCTGGGATTGGTTTGAATAATTTTTTCTGGTTAGCGTTTTTTTAGCGAGTTAGTTTTCCACGGGATGGGGACGCTAACCCCATGCCCAACCCTCCTCCTTTATCCGGGCTTGGGACCGGCAGTAGCCCCCGGAGGGACTCCAGGCGGAGTCTCAAAGGAAAAGGAAAAGAGGTTGACCATGAAACACAAGATGCAGGAAATCGGAGGCGGATATCAAAAAGGATGAGTTGCACTCGGTTGCAACTAGAAAGAAGAGGCAAAGATAGGGTTGCTTGGAGATACCTGATTGGTGACCCATACCCTAAATTTATTTATTTGAACACAAATATTGGTACAAGGGGGCACCAAATACACATGCGTTACACAATAACAATGAGAATGTGAAGAGATAGGTAATGTAAAGTGCACATAACGAAGAGAAGAACAACAACGAACAGAAATTATTTTTTGAGAGTGAAATAATAATAATAGAGGGAGAAACAGTGCAGTTAGTAAAAATATAACCAGAAATTATTCAAGTTAAAGAAGTTACGTCCATTTTTATGACGAGAGTTACAGAAGGGTCCCTAATGTCTTCTATCCTGAGCTATGTCTGATAACGTATCTAGCCACTGTGTTGCACCGCCTCTAGGACCCCAGCCAGGGAGTCGTGAAGGACCAACACAAGCCAGTCCTTTGCAGCTTTCTTTCATACCACGACACCATGTCATATACTGGCCACCTCTCCGCTATTTCCAACCAGTCCCAGAGTAGGCGAATAATGGACGACGTGGAATTCTCTGGGACGACATTCATAGAACATGTCCAAGCCACCGAAGTCGGTGTTTCAAGATAGCGGCAATAACTTAATTATAGTCGCTGTGCCCGAACACACTATGCCGAACCTCTGCATTACTGACATGGTGTTGCCACTGGATGTCAGCAACCTTTCGGAGACAACGGTAATCAAACACAGAGTCGTCTAACATCCTCAACTCGGAGAGGCCAGGTTTCACAAGCATAGAGCAAAACTGCTCTCACCGACGCGTTGTAGATCCGACCTTTTACAGCCAGACTGACATTACGAAGGCGCCAAAGATGGCCCAGATTGGTATAAGCCACCCTGGTTTTCACTATACTTGTATTGATCCCATCATTCACGCCACCACCAGCGCTTATGTAGCATCCTAGACATACGAACTTCTCGATTACTTCTATCTCCTCACCACCCAGGGTGAGTACAGGAGTAGAATCCTGCAAGTGTTGTAGAAGAACTTTGCACTTCGAAGGTGCAAAGCACATACAGTACCTACGGACACTGATTGCCAACTGATTAAGTGCGGATTGCATGGCTTGGACAGACCAGTTGAACTGCTCCTCGAAAAACTTTGCCCATTGTCCAGGACGTCATTAGCTTTTAGTGATTGACATCTCTTCTTCACGGGTTGTTTCACTCACACCAGACTCCTTGCTGTCAGTGACTCAGTCAGTCAGCTACAACGTAGGACCAGGCACATATATGCATCGGTCCAAGTTGCCATACCCCATTAACACAAGATGGACACCTGATCCATAAAAGTAGTTATGTCAGAGGTGGTAATATATAAAAGAAAGATTGCAATAAGGATATAGTACAGGAAGAAAGAATCAGTTCGTTGAAAGATATGAAGCGATTTTAATCTCTTAGTTTAAGGGAAGACAGAGAGTGTATACACCGACGCCATTGTGATTGACTCTGAGCCATGTCACCCAGAGTCTCCAACCATCGTTTACGATAGTCACGCGGACCCCAGCCCAGTAGTCTGCCAGTGACTCGGACGATCTGAAAGAGCTTCTGGTGGATGCAGCTGCTACTTCTAACTCGTAAGCACGCTCCGACCACTTTATGTGAGCTTGGCGTAATTTCACTACGTAACAATCTTCGTTTATGGTCAAACTCGCGGTCAGCCGGAGTAGATCGACGGGCTTCAATGAACTGTTAGGAGCCTACAGAAACCCTGTGCTTATAAGCGGGACGTTTCGCAAAGCCACAAGCAACTTTACTCGCCATTTTCATGGCGTCATGCAATTGCAACCAATGCTCATTTATAGTTTTCGGTGGGATAGCAGCTACCCTTGAACCTAGCTCCACTTGATATTTAGTTTCAACAGAAGATCCGACCAATTTGCTAACATCGACCAGTTTAGGATGATGAAATTGCTGACCACTGAAGTTTATGTCTGCGAAGACATTACCTGTTGATCCTACTGGACTACTCTAATACTTGATTCGTGATTTGTTAACCACTCATATAGCATAAAACTAAAACCATTAGTTGTACATATGCAGTTTAATATTCTACGTTACGATCAGCACTTTAAATTTCACGTCTGAATGGACCATATCACTCCTGAAGTTAGAGACTGATCACTGTGGCCATGGTATCGTTGTATTCCGACAAACAAATATGTTTTATGCAGGTGGATGAAAATAAGTAAAACTAAGTAGTAGTAATAATAATAATAACAATTATAAGTAATGGTTTGACAAATAAGCACAGGTTTGCCCAATAGTTTCGGGCTTTACTTGTGCGGAATCGAGTTACTATTCAGTGTCTTAAGTTGAAATAGGTGGGACGAGGCTTAAGAATAAAAACTTGGTAACCAGACTTCAGACGACAAGACTATGGAACTACAGAAGAATAACTAAACACAAACTTTTCTGCAACCCAATACAACAGTTCAGTTGTAGAACAAAATGTGACCGGCATTGAATTTAAATATGTTGATTTAATTTCAATGCATGCATAACAATAGTTGTGACAGGACTATCCAACTTTGTTCCTAGGAAACACTTAGGACTTCGGATAGAGAAAGTACATACCAAACCCATGATTATTAATAGAACCCTAATCACAAAGAATTTTTTATGAATACCGGGCAAGTAGAGAAAGTCTGCAGACTCGTTAGATTACCTTAGACAACCATAATCAACACGATACCACGATTACCTAATCACACCAGCACGATGTGACATTAACAAGGGCGATACCGAGAGTAAAAATAGTAGTGAGTGGGAAAGACTAGACACTGACGAACACTGTTCGGAAAGGAGGGGTGGATACTAGAAATAGGAAGTCTGAGATAATATTGAACCCCAAGGTTCAGGGGAAGACAAACATCTACATTTGTATCAGTGATCGATTCGCAGCCACCTCATTCAACGTCTCCAACCACTGATAGCACGGACTACAACTAGGTAATCTGAATTTAACAACACAGCAACCTAAAAGTCAATGACTTTACACACCGGTACTACTCCTTAGTTTAATAGTCCCTAGTTTCCTTCCAGCTTATTCCAACTCCAACCAAAATTGCATATCAAGACAGGCTTTGGTTGGGAATAAACAATACATGTCCCATCTACTTCAGTTGGTGAAAACCCACCAACTCCCCAAACACAGAATCGCTTCCTCGATTGACCCACGATACGATAGTGATTTCTCGACTAAAAAACCTGCGACTTACGTCTCCGAATGTTCTAAGCCATATCCCTCAGTAAACTAGGGAAGACTACTAAGTGGCATAGTCACCACTTCGTTTGAGACGAATAACTTTTTTACACCACATATGACGCAAGTTGGCAGAAAGAAATCAAGCTTTCTAAATTCGTGTGAAGATTTCAACATACACCAACACATCAGGACTCGTAAAACTTCCGAGACAACTCAACTACTTCACTCCCAACAACTAATCTAGGCACTGATACAGATCATCCAAAAATGTAAACCGATGTAGTAAGTGGCCACATTCAATCAAACACTAAAAATATCCTGGTATTAATTTATTAACAGGAAATAAATTAAGGGTATCCTAATACCTATCAGTACAGTCGGAAATATATGCAAACAGTGGATACACAACATGTACACACCGAACAGGTTAGAAAACATTATTTTGAAAATAATTTATTTGTTTGATTATGTGCAGATAATAATAAATATTAGAAATAATAAAGAGAAACCAAATGATCAATTATTATGCATTTGCAGTTTTATTGTCTAAAATTACTGATTCGTGCATCGCCAAATTTCAAATACTGTTGGTTAACCCGTTATTCCATTGCGGTAGTTTTTGTGTAGCTGTGGCTGAATTTGCATTACACAATTCAACAACATATTTATGGCGTCTTCTTTATGAAGATTCACTGAGGCAGTCTGAGTATCGATTATTTCTTGGGTTAGCTTTTGAATCTGTGACTCAATTTCTGATCGACGACCAAGTACCTAGTAAAAATTATAAAATAAAGTTTAAATCCGTGAGACATTTTACCATTAAAATACATCTTATCTGCCTAAGTAACTTCACCTGCAGCTCTTCTAGGGCTACTGTCGGCGCCAAGCCCACAACAAAAGGGGTTGTGCATGGGGTCGACAACCCCATTCCGTAGAAAACGTTGCTAAAAAACGCTAACTTGAATGAACAATATAAACCTTGCCCTCCGAGTTGAAGGGAAAACTATGACCCCTTATGATGAATGCTGAGATTCTTCGAAAGTCATGAGACCGATATCCCTTCTAACAACCAGAGAAACAATTTTTATAGATATATGGAACGTCCGGACAATGCGGAAGAACGGGAGGACCAGTCGAAAAGCAACGAAAATGAGGAAATACTGCATGTCGGTACTCGGAATCAGCGAGACCCATTGGACCCAAGCTGCACAAGAAAGATTAGATACAGAAAAGGTGCTACTGTACTCCGGTCACGAAGAAGAAAATGCTACACATACTCAGGAATTTGCTCTGATGCTGTCCAAAAAGGCACAAACCCTCTACTCGAACACAACTGGTCGAGTGAGAGCTTATGGTGAACTGTCATCAGAATTGATTACCTCAAGTGGTGTTCGTCAGAGCTGTCCACTCTCTCCATTCTTGTTCAACTTTGTCATTGACGTACTTTTAGAGATAACACTTTCCTCATCTAAATTTACGGGGGTTGAACTTCTACCGGGAGGTTCACTTGTTGACTTGGAATATGCCGATGACAGTTCTATTTGGTGAAGACGCTGACAAAATGCAGAGTCTTTTGACCACTCTAAGCAACAATGCAGGCATGGTCGGGATGCGATTCTCCCCCTCGAAATGCGAAATGTGGCTTCAGGATTGGGTTGCATCGACACCCGAATTAATGATAGGGAGTGAAGTAATTGAGCGTGTCGATCGCTTCACTTATCTCGGGAGTCTCATCAGCCCTTGTGGTCTGGTGTGTGACGAAATCTCAGCACGGATACAGAAGGCTCGACTAGCCTTCGCCAAATTGCGTCATTTATGGAGTAGGCGAGATATCCGTCTATCAACCAAAGGACGGGTTTACTGCGCAGCAGGTCGTTCTGTCCTATTTCACGACAGTGAAATATGGCCGGTAAGAGTAGAGGATATTCGTAGGTTACTAGTATTTGACCATAGGTGTCTTCCAAGCATTGCTCGTATATCCCGGGACCATCGAGTAAGTAATGTAGTTGTTAGGAAACGGCTAACTAGGTAAGGATGGAAAATCCATCCATGACGTAGTGAAACTTCATCAGTTGAGATGGATGGGACACGTGTTAGGTATGCCCAACCACCGACTGCCTCGACGTGCTATGTTCAGTGGTATAGGAGTGAATTGGAAGAAAGCTAGGGGCGGCCAGACCAAAACATGGCACAAATCCATGAAGTCACTGACAAGTAGACTGAGTCATATTGATAGATGTAGACTACCTGGTTGGGGACCACGAGATGATAGCAACCGATGGTTAGAGACCCTGAATGACATGACTCAAAATTGTTTGCAATGGCGCAGGTGCATCCAATCTTTGTGTTCTCCCAAATTTTGATCTCCTTATTCTTCCTTGTCTTTTTTTTCTCTTTCCAAATTTACTTCACTGGATTATACTCTTTAAATAACGTCTCCAAACACTAATCTTTCCGATTACTGCCTATACTCTTACTACCCCTACCACTACGGGATTTGAATGGACAACTGCATCTCTGTGCTAATGTGGTATGGCAACTCGAACTGATGTACGTACGTACGAAGTTCTACGTTGTTACTGACTGACTGACTGAAAGAGGCACAAAATGCACTTATAGGATGAGCATCTCATGGATCTAGAATTACCAAAACACCCTTCAAAACAAAGGAGGGGATCACAATGAATGTTATCCAGTGTTATGCACCCATCAATAAAAGCAATGAAGACGACAAAGATCAGCTTCACGGGAAGCACAGAATACAATGGACAGCATGGATTCAGCTAGACGATTTGGACTTCACACATCACCTAGCTCTTCCATGCCATACACACCAACAAATGCTGGTGAAGACAGTCAGCGTAGCAGCAGCCTCTGCATCAGTAGGCTTGAACACAAACAAGGGAAAAACCAAGATTCTGAAATATAGCGCAGAGAACAACACAATCACACGTGATGGAGAGGCTCTGGAAGAGGTTGAAACTTCCACGTACCTGGGCAGTAACATCGATGAACTTGGAGGATTTGATATGGATATGAAGACACGTTTTAGCAAAGAAGAGGCCGCATTTCTACAGTTGAAAAATATATATGACTCAAAAAGCTGTCAACCAACAACTAAATCAGAATCTTCAATACGAACGTCAAGACGCTGGACGCGGATGAGACATATATTGAGGAAATCACCAAACTGCATCACGAGACAAGCACTAACATGGAGTTCTGATGAGAAACAGAAAAGAGGAAAACCAAACACACCGTCTGCAATCGAAAGGAGGCATCAAAAGGATGAGTAGCAACTGGGATTGTCCAGGAAAGGGTCCAACAGAGTCCTGGTGGGCGGCTTATACTCCTTCACGAGGAGTAAAAGGCGTAACTAAGTATCTATCTAAATATCTTAAAGTTAGCATTACGGAATAAACAGAAAATCACATACACAGACAACTCACTTTACCCTCACAAATTTTAAAGTGATGCTCACGCTCAGCTCGTTCAGCTTCTATTTCTGCCTGAGCCTCAGCTTTAGCTTCCTTTAATCGTTTAGCTTTACCTGAGATAGTAAAAAAACACTTTGATTATCGAGTGGTAGAAAACTCATTCTCATTGTTACAGTATATGGAAATCAGATCTTAGTAAAGAGAAAATCAGGAAATTATTCAAAATACAACGCTATAGCAACAGTATACGACTGAAATAGATGCACTTGGGTTTAACCATCTTGTGTCAACGAAAACGTGTTGGACATGAGTTCCAAAGAATGTTCCACATGCAAACAAACCAATAATGTAAATATATAGAAAGTTGTACATAAAACAATGTATAATTAGGATAACATGAGCAAACAAATAAGAAACAGTAGTTCCTCGCTTCGATTTTAAAATGTTCAAATACAAGACCATATATGTCACATTATTGTCGGAAACACAACCTAGTGACGAAGGAAGTAACTACTGTTTGATCCGGGACCTGAGAGATGTCGAACAGAAACAGTGTTAAACATCTGACTTTTCATAATCAAAGCGTTACGACATAGCTCACATCCGGAAAGTAGCTTTGAAGAACAGTAAAGTATTAAGAAACTCAGTGGCCCTGTGGATAGAGCAATTGTTTTTTAACTGGCACGTCAGGTTCGAACTTTGCTCCACTCGGATCTGAGTGGTCGAGAAGTAGTATTACTATCCCTGAACTCAAGTGTGATATCGAATAATATCTAATTCATAAGACATTCCCAACCTTTATTTAGAAATTTAGAAAACCAAGTAGCTGAAATAATGGAAAATATTGCGTTAACCAATTCACTAAGTGACCATTACTGGAAATGAGGATTGTTGCTGTCTGGGAACAGTTGTCACAAAACCATCGATATATCTTGAGTAGACACATTAAGAGATGGAGTCATTGGGACAATGGTTAGAACCTACAACTGTACTGCTACATACTAGGTGAAGTATCTAAATCCTGTTTTTAAGTACTATCTTGTGGAACCTTACAAATGACAGCCTATCACACTGGCCATACCAAAAGGCCCTCATTGTTATTTAAACGTTTTTAGTACGTGACCAAGTTACTGACGAGTTAATGAACATTCTAAAAGGGTCGCCTGGCTAGTGAAACCAATACGCATTTGATTTACAAAACCTTAAATGGTGCAACAAAATGGTGACCAAGTAATCAACTGGGTCAAACCTCCAGAAAGGGTCCCAAGTTATCGATGGAATATAGGCTTTTTTACCTGATAGCAATGATATTTAAAACTAACTCACGCCTTTTTGCCTCATTTACTTTCTCACTAGCACTCTTTTCGGCTTGCAAAAGGAGCTGAATACCATCATTCCTTGAAGCCATTCTTGATAATGAACCTTGAAATTTATCTTCTACTCATGAAGATACACACTTAAACAATTACTCCGGTTACTGATTCTGAAGGTTGAAAGACATGGACTAGTTCTGACGTTATGGACATATATATATTTTTTTCAGAAACATGACTCACGAAGAACGTCTAGCAGAATATTAAAGTAGGGATTTCCAGTTGTTGGTAGTATAGTACTATTGAAAAAGTTCCCATTACAATGACTTTTGGCCGTACAAAAATCCCAAAAAAGACAGCATTGATGTTGTGGTAATTATTTTTGTTGCACACACTGCAGTTGGAAGTACTAGATCACGCATTTGCACCAGATCACCATATAGAAGTAAATAAATCCCCAAAACCAATGGCTCTATAAGTCTTCGACATTTGAAGCATACCGAATTAGTTTTAGTGGACTCGCCTAGCTGAACGCACTCGGTCATACTTCCTCAACAGATCACGAGTTGGCAAACTATGCTCAACTTCTCCTACAACAGCTAGCCAGCTTGCAGAAATATATTATTATTATTATTAGATTAGTCACTTCTCGATATATCGATATTCTTTCAAATATACCTTCAAGTCTCTTTGTATTTGACTTCTGACTTTATCGGGTTGGTACGTTTGGATTATAGGTGTTGTAGCGGTAAACAAATCCCCAAAATAAATAGCTCTGTAAGTCTTCGACATTGGATACTGACCAGATTAGTTTTAATGGACTTACCTAAGTGAAGGCGCTCGGTCATACATCCGCACCAGATCACGAGTGGGAACGCCGTGCTCAACGTCCCCTATAATCGCTAGCCAGTGTAGATCAGTCGATCCTCGATATATTGATAGCCTATCAAATATATCTTCGAACCTCCTCGCTTCTGTCCTTTTATTTCACTTGGTGGGTGCGATTCATATTAGTAGGTGTTACTGGTTAAAGCGTTGTCAAACTCTAAATACCTGTGGCATCTTCATTGGTGAACCCGACGTGGTCTGATTATACCAACTTGCATACTGTGAGTCTGTTTCTTTATGGGATTTTATATACCATCGCTTTGTTTCAATTTTTATATATTGTGATATTTTTTCCTCATGGTTTTCGACATACATACATATGTTTTCTCGTCCATTCTCGTACTTGATATTTCACCATGATGGAACAGACACCCAATGTACTCAAGTTAAAGACCATGAATCCACCTTCAGTTCAACTAATGCTCTTCTGGCCAGACAACATCGAAGTCTGGTTCTACCACACAGAAGCCGACTTCTACGAGCACAAACTGAACGACATACATGCACAATTCCTCGCAGTAGTCAGGGCAGTTCCACACGAATTTAACCATTACGTGACACCTAGTGTGTTTACTAGTGATGTTTCGGAACCATACGAAACAGTTAAACGATCTATTTTTAAACGCGGAGATCTAACCGATCGACAAAGGTCAGACCAACTCCTTAATAATATTGACTTGCAACATGGTTCTGCGACAGATATGTTGCTAAGAATGAGAGAGGTGATTGGCCAAAGAATTTTCGATGACGGCATATTTCGACAACTTTTCTTATCTAAACTTCCTCAACAGGTGCAAGCTGTGCTGGTCTTGTTTCAAAACAACACCGTAGACGAGCTGGCTGCATCTGCCGACCGCATCCCTGAAATCACGAAATCTCCCAATGCCGGGGTTTTCTCACTCAAAGAAAAACCTCAAACGACCCAGAATGACATTATGGAACTATGTCACTCGTTGACACGTTATATGCAATTTTGTAATGGCCGTAAACGGTCACACACTCCGCGAAGAAGCACTTCAGGTAGCCGATCTGTCCCTAGAACACGAGAGATGGACAACCCCGACTGGGTCTGGTATCACAACCGGTTCAGAAACTGTTCTAGAAACTGCAGAACACCCTGCAATTTTTCAAACTCAAAACGACCGACACGTAAAACAACTCGGGAAACTTCCAAGACGTCTGTTGTACGTCACCGATGTGAGAACGAGAGTTCGCTACCTCGTCGATACTGGCGCAGAAGTTAGCGACCGAAATTGCCGTGTGTAACCAGCAACGTAACATATCACATCACGACTACAGGACCACCTGTATTCTCGAAAGCACGCCGACTGGCCCCGAAAAGCTAAGGTTGGCCAAAAACGAATTCGACCACATGATAGACTTGGGGATCACACGACCGTCAAATAGCCCATGAGCATTTACGTTGCACATGGTCCTTAAAAAGGATAGCAACGACTGACGTCCAACTGGTGACTGTCGGCGATTGAATGCAAAAACCATTCCTGATCGTTACCCATTGTCCCACATTCATGATCTGACTTACTTACTTACTTACGCCTGTTACTCTTCGTGAAGGGGCATAGGCCGCTCGCCAGCATTCTCCATCCAACCCTATCCTGGGCATTCCTTTCCATTTTCGATCGTTACCCATCGCCTCACATTCACGATTTGACAGGTACCTTGGAAGGTACAACTATCTTTTCGAAAATCGATTTGGTTAAAGCCTATAGCCAAATTCCTATGGCATTTGATGACAATCCTAAAACAGCTATCATCACATGTTTCGGCCTCTACGAATTTTCGCGCAAGCCATTCGGCTTAAGAAATGCTGCTCAGACCTTCCAAAGTTTCATAGATGACATTTTTCTAGGTCTCAACATCGTACACGCTTATGGTGATTACTGCTGTATAGCAAGTCAGGAGAGAGAATCCCATCTTCAGCGTCTGGACCTTGTTTTCGATCGACTACGAAAGGATGGCATTATTGTAAACATTCAGAAATGCCAAATCGGAACTGACTCCTCAGATTTCTTCGGACACATTATTGATGCTCAAGACATCCGGCTAACATGGGACTGCATCTCCTGACGTTGCTCCACTGCCTTGTGGATCAGACCTTTAGGTCGTAAGCTCCGGGTGTGGCCCCCCAAGAAAATCACCACTGTCGTTGGTCGATTGAACCCTTCTTGTGTTATTTATCCCAAATGAAAATGCGAATTGACATTAACTACACAATGGTTGCTATCATTTGGTCATTTAATATAGGACTCTGTTGTATGTGTTGTTTTTCCGTCGTTCCTACTCGTATATACACATTTCGGTTTATAATATTAACACGGTTTGCTATATCCTTACCTGTCTTGCGTATTGTCGTATCAAATTCAGTTCGTTTGCGGGGCCACTACATACTTTACTTCTATCAACACAAATAGGACCTGTGTCGTTTTCAGTCTACAAAACTTCTCTGTATATGCTCCGCAGAGTACCTGAAAATGTATTGTGCGAAATACAAATTTTATGAACACACAGTCATGACATTACAAAGTAGTGGCATTCGTTCAAATTGATGACTGATTTGCACTTCATCCCGTAGTTATTTCAAATTCAAATATAACATGTTCAATTGTACTCATCTAGTCCTATCTGTCCTAGATTGAAATTTTCTGGGAATCCTTACTTAGTAAATCAATTCATTACTTCTGGTCACCATATTAGCGTTGCGATGAGGACTGCGATTGGACACGTGGGTGAACATTCAGATATAGAAGTTTGGCAGACGTTTATCACGTGGTGAACCTCATTCACGCAATTCATACATATTTTGTCACGCTATCTGTCTTAAGTTTGAAAGAAGTTGGACATATCAGATCTCTTTGTTAGCCACCAATAATAACAAGCTCAGTAATTCGGATGTTACAAACTTTCATGATTCTAGTAATCACACTCTATATTTATTTATTACCTCGAGTAAAACACTTCACACCCAAAAAATAATAACATATAAGCGATGGTGATTTTCCTGATTCTATTATGGTCATGAATTGCACCAAATCTATCATTCCAGTTGGAGGCCTGAAATCATTAAAACCCGATTCTGTAATTAGACCTACAGAAGTTTCTGCTTCAAATATTTCTGATCATAAACTTTCTGTTGTGGAACGTTATAATTTACTTATTAAAGACGGCAAATCTTCAGTCATAATCTATGAATTTTTCATCTCCGATTGTGGGAAATCCGTTCCTATCCTAAAAATTCAGGAATGCTTCAATTACAACTTTCCTAGGTGACCACTGAGGGAAACTCTGATGGACGGCCTGATGACTTGTTGACTATAGAATCGGGGTGGGGAGATTCGTTCACAACTTCAAAACGCTTATGTTCTGATACCATGGGAGAACATGCTAAGAACTTGTAAACGAATGCTATTTCTATTACTGCTGCAAGATTTGAGGACCTGGAGAGGAGAATAGATGAGATCTCTTATTGCAGCGATCCCAGACCGAATACGAGAGAAACATTGACAAAATTGCTCGGACGAAAAATGTTCGTTCGGATGTTGCATGTTTACAGTGTGCTGACGTTACATACTATCACAGAACTGATCTTCAACAGCTTAAGAATTACTTACTTACTTACTTACTTACTTACGCCTGTTACTCCCAATGGAGCATAGGCCGCTGACCAGCATTCTCCCACCCACTCTATCCTGGGCCTTCTTTTCTAGTTCCATCCAATTCTTGTTCATTTTTCTCATGTCTATCACCATTTCCCGGCGTAATGTGTTCTTTGGTCTTCCTCTTTTCCTTTGACCTTCAGGATTCCATGTGAGGGCTTGTCTTGTGACACAGTTCGGTGCTTTCCTCAATGTGTGTCCTATCCACTTCCAGCGCTTCTTCCTGATTTCTTCCTCCACTGGGATCTGGTTTGTTCTCTCCCACAGTACGTTGTTGCTAATAGTGTCCGGCCAATGGATCTGAAGTATTTTGCGTAGACAATTGTTAATAAACACTTGTATTTTCTGGATGATGGCTTTTGTAGTTCTCCAGGTTTCTGCCCCATACAGTAGAACTGTCTTGACATTTGTATTGAAAATCCTGACCTTGGTGTTGGCTGACAGTTGCTTTGAGTTCCAGATGTCCTTCAGTTGTAGATATGCTGCTCTTGCTTTGCCGATCCGTGCCTTCACTCCTGCATCAGATCCACCGTGTTTATCAATGATGCTGCCCAAATACGTAAACGTTTTTACATCTTCCAAATCTTCTCCGTCAATTTT